AGAAGAGAAATTATTCCAGTTTCAGAGGATATAATGATATGAAGTTAAATGGGCAGCATCTTGGACTGATATAAGAACCTGAATCCATTGAAATAAGTATAATAATTATGCAGATCTTCACTAGGATTATTTACCTCAGGAGATGCTAGCCAACCAAAGTTTTCATGGATCTAATTCAAGGTCATAAATATATTGGGGCATTCTGGTTTCTCCTCAATTGATAGTCTTCACAAACAATACAATTTGGACTGACAAAGGCATTTCAACTTTACATTCAGAATTGTTTTATAACAGCTTTTAAGGACCTGAATTCCATTAAAATATCACAAAGGCCCAAGAAGAAAGAGAGTTTGAATGTGAACAGGGCCAATAAAGTCAGTATTGCTCAATTATTCTTTTAAAATTTCAATTAAGTCAATTTGTTTCAAGTTCATTTGGCTAGGGAAATCTTTTCACTCTAAGATTATTTCATTAGCTAATCCTTGCTTCACGCTCCAAATAACAAAAATACCATGGCATTTTATGTCATTATCTTGCTTCCAAACTAAATAGCAATAGTTGCCCTCCCAAAAGTGAATGTTATAAAATGATTATGAATAAGTTTGTGAAAATATTATCATAAAGGAGAAACTATTCTCTTTTTGATAGAGTAGCAACTTAAATTTATATCCCCTTTTTCAAAAAAAAATTCATAACTGGCTAATTTATTTGAACAGTATTTTTATTTTCCTCCAAAAGTATCAAGGAAATTTAAAAATAAAAGTGTACAATTTTTAAAAAAATCAACTATATCTATGAAATTTTCTAAAATACTATTGCATATCTTAATCTGTAATACTGCTTAAAATACAACTCCAGAGATGTAATTTTGTGTGTCTTGGGCCTGAAAGAGTCTTTGAAACATTTTATTTCAGAGCTGAGTTTCAAAAAAAAAAAAAGACTTTTTGCTAAAAAAAAAATCTCCTCACAAAGAAGCTTGTCTGGGAAAAGTATTCTTCGAAACTGTAGACATGTCTTTCCAAAAGCTTCTGTTCCAATTCATAGCACTTATTGTCCTGATCTTAGAGCTCAGCCACAGCAGCGTGAAGCTCTTTTCAAAACTAGTCTAATGACTTTGAAGAATTTGCTTTTTGCTAAGTCTGGTGAGCTTAAGACTGCAATGTTTTGGGTTTGGGTTTTTTTTGTTCTTTTTGTTTCTGTTTTTTTCCTTCACCTTTGAGCTCCCAGGCCTTGATAAAACAGGGACAAAGCCACTAGGTCCCTTTGTAAGTGTGTGATAATTAAAGTCAGGATTGCTCAGTGAAGATCATCTGTTTGTTCTACTTGAGATCTTTCAGAACCAAATCCACTTGTTAAGCTAGCCAAGCACATTGTTTTTGGCTTGCTTTTTTGTTTGTTTCTTTGTTTCTAATATATATCAAACCAACTTGGCTGATACACTTTCAAAGAAGGGCTTTGGAAAGAATAGCAGTGTTCCTCTCACCCGAAGCCCTGGATAAGGTTTAAGGGAAACTAAACTAGTGGCTTTGATTGAAGTCACCTTGAAATCACCTACATTTCTTCTGAATAACCTGGAGAATTCACTGATTTTTTTCAGCTTCTGAGTCTGTCATCACATCAGTTCTTTACACTTTGGAGCTATGCTTTAGAAATTGCCTTTTGACTTTTTCAAATGCAACTGTACAGTTAGAAAACTCCCCGTAAGACCATTACTATCTTTAAATAATATGACCCTTTGGGGCCATCTGTAGTCAAGGAAGCCATTATTAGCTATAAGAAGGCTAAATGAGTGAATAGGCTTTCCCTCTACCCAGTTCACTCAACCTCTCCCCTCTTCTTTAAGGTTTGTGTTCAGCTCTCTCTGGCTTTCTGAAAAATAGGGAAAGGGCACATCCCCCTTTATAAGTATAGGACTACAGAAAAGCCCAGGTGACTCCAGTCTACACTCAGTTCATCCTCCAGTGCCTAAAAAAATGTCCTTAATCCTTTCAATGAGACTGTCAACTGACATACCCCAATTCTCCACTGAAAGATACACAAGTCTCAAGTATTTTGCCTCCTTTTCACCTAAAATTCATAGAATCACAAAGATGGAAATAGAAAGGACCTCAGAGGTCATCTATTCCATCTCCTTCATTTTATAAATGAGGAAACTGAGATCAACTGAAGTTAAGTGATTTGCCCAAGGTCACTCAGGTAGTAAGTATTAGAGAGTGGATCAAGCTTATCCTGGAATGCCTTTGATTGGTCAACAAGAATATAATAAGCACTTGCTATATGCACATCACTGTACTAAGCCCTGGGAATTCAAAAAAAGGCAAATATATGTTTCCTGCCCTAAAATATCTCACATTCCAATGGAGGAGAGATGATGTAAATAACTGTGAGCAAACTATTAGATAACTTGGAGGTAATTTCAGAGGGGTGGCCTGAGATTAATTTTATATGTAATGGCCTGAAAGGGTCTTTGAAACATTTTATTTCAGAGCTGAGTTTTAAAAAAAAAAGACGTTTGCTAAAAATCTCAAAAAAAAAATTGCAGCCCAAAGTTTGCCAAACTTAGCAAAAAGCAAATTCTTCAAAGTCATTAGACTAGTTTTGAAAAGAGCTTCATGCCACTGTGACTGAGCTCTGAGATCAGGACAATAAGTGCTATGAATTGGAACAGAAGCTTTTGGAAAGACACGTCTCCAGTTTCGAAGAATACTTTTCCCAGACAAGCTTCTTTGTGAGATTTTTAACAAACCTCTATTTTTTTTTAACTCAGCTCTGAAATAAAATGTTTCAAAGCCCCTTTCAGGCCTAAGACATATAAAATTACAAATGGCCTTCTTGCAGAAGGATTTTAGCTGAGACTTGAAGGAAACCAGATAAACCAGGAGACAGAGACTGGGGGACAGAGAGTGCATTCCAGGCATAGGGAGTAGCCACTGAAAATGCACAGAATTGGGAAATGGAGAATCATGTTCAAGAAAAGGCAAGTTGGCCAGTATCACTCAATTGTACCAAAAAGAATAAAGTATAGGAGGACTGAGAAGGTAGGAAAGAATTGGGTTATAAAGGTCTTTAAAAGTCAACTAGGATTTTATATTTGATCCTAAAGATTTTAAGTAGCTGCTAGAGTTTATTGGTTGGGGGTAACATGGAGGTCATTTTTGCAGTCAAGGAAGATAACTTTGAGAGCTGCAAGGAAGATAAAGTGCAATGGGAAGAGACTTGAGGCAGAGAAACCAACAAGCCATCTACCAAGACAAGCTTCTTCTATATTAGCTCAATCAGCCAGGCACAGAGTATCAATGACCCTGACATTCTAGGGTCACTTACTGAAGGTGACAGTTAATTTTGCATTCTTCAATGAGCATAGTTTGATATCACTTTGCAGAACACACAGATTTCTTTGCAACAAGTCGGAGCATCCCATGATATTTCACTTTTTTTCTATTTTTAACCAGTGTAGGTAAGTGAGAAACTAGGAAGAAGCCTATAGATATATATAATCACCAATGACGAACAGTACAAAGAATATATATATATATATATATATATATGTACGTATATATGTATGTGTGTGTGTGTGTATGATTTTGGAGTTGGAAAGAGGAAAACTGGCCAGTTAGTCTGGGCCTCTCTTTCTCTGATCACTGTGACCCGAAGGAAACCGTGGAGAAGGTAGCAGGTAACTTGTTGATGTCTCAACTCTGCCATTGTCTGGTTGTGTAGCCCTGTGAAAGAGTCTTTCTCTCTCAGACCTTCAGTCTCCTCACCTTTAAAATAAGGAGGTCGAATTTAATTGTGTCTGAAGTTCCTTCCAGCTATAACATTCTATGATCTACAGCCATGGTTTCAGGGTCTTGTCCTCCAGTTTGCAGGTTCAGAAATTCAATTTTATTAGTTCACCCAGGGGTGATCAAGCCCTGATGAATTGACTTGCACACCCATACTCACAAGATACTGATTTATAAATCAGAATGCCATTTTATTAATTTACAATAAGAAATTAAAGTGCCAAATAAATTGTAAAGTTCCTATAGGCTGGTCAGCACATTCTCATCCCAGTAAGAGAAACCTACTTTGGAAACTGATTTGGATCAGGAGACTGTTTACTTGATGTAGAATTATAAAGAAAGGAAGTCAAATAACTACAAAAATTCTTTAGTTCACCAAGGCCAATTCAGTCATTTAACATTTTTTAAGCATATGTGATAGACAAAACAGGCTGCTAGGGATACAAAGTCAAAAATTGAAAGTGCCTACCCTCAAGAAACTTGATATTGCAAGATATAACATGTTATCTATGCTATATATAAGTAAATATAAGCAAATTTGAGGAGAGAGAAAGCATTAGCAAGTAGGGAGATCAGGAAAAGCCTCACCTAGTGGGTTGACCCTAAGCTAAGTCTTGAATGAAGCCAAGGATTTTAAGAGCCAATGTGGGAAGGAGTGTGTTTTAAGAAAAGGTGCAGGCAGGCTATGCAAAGACACAAACGGAAGTAGATGCCAAGTACCAGAACAGCTAAAACACCAGTTTGGCTGGAACAGAAAATGTAGATAACTATGATAGAGTAGTAATGTTATATAGAAAAGAGTTCACAGAACATCTAAGTTCAAATCTCTGCTCTTCCACTTAATCAGGCAAGTAATTTAGTCTCTCTAAAACTGAATTTTCTCACCTGAAAATAGAGATAATAAAATTCACACTGATGGACATCATGGAATAGTGGATAGGGGCTGAACTTGCAGTGGGGAAGACCTAGATCCAGATTCTATCTCTGATACATACTGTGTGGTCCTGGATGAGTCACTTAATGCTTTAGTAATTTAGTCAAATATTAAAAACTATAAATTAAAGGCAGCTAGGTGGTACAGTGGGTAGAGCACCAGCCCTGGAGTCAGAAGGACCTGAGTTCAAATCTGAACTCAGACACTTACTAGCTTGTATGACCATGGGCAAGTCACTTCACCCTAGTTGCTTCAGAAAAAAAAAACTATAAATTACTCACAAGGTGACAATCTGCATCAATGGGTAGGATTTCTACTCCAAGTTCCCCACACAGAAGTCTGTACCCTGCAAAAATGAAAACAAAAAACCAGTTTTTTTGAATTTCCCTAATTCCACTTTAGGACTTTTTATAGCAAAGAATAATAAGATAATATATGTGAAGTATTTTGCATTTATAATGCATTATATAAATGCTCATTATTATTTCATGCCTCCACTATAGAATTCACCATAATTGTAAGTTATAATGTCTCTCTCTCCTGGAGAGTTGGAGAAACACTAGCTAAGCTGCTTTTATAGCATCCTTTTTTCAGTATTATCAGCTGATCTCCAGAATCTTCTGTTTGCCCTTGTCATTATAACATCACCTTTCTTCATTTGAACGTGGTCTCATAGCATGTTACAGTATTCCAGCTTGCAGCTTATTTTCCAATGATTGCATTTTAGATTGCTTCCTCATGACATTTAGGGAGACACTTGAATCTCCAATAAGATGCCTCCAAATTACTTTTGGGAAGGTTTCTCATAGAGAGCTAATCTCATCTACTGTGTATGAGTTCTTGTTAGCATCCATCAAAGAGTCGATGCCTTCCCAGGTCTGGGTGTCCTGCCCTTTTCCTGACCTGTGTCTACAAAATCTTGGTGCTATTGCATCTGGAGCCTGTAATTCATTTTCTATAATTCCACTGAAAATGGGTCAGGGTCATCATCTTATGTGAAGGTCAATAATTTTATTTTATAATGTACATATATACCACAGATTTCTACTTCTTTACAAACCCTAAATTTCAATCCATTAAATTGATTTTATCCACACCTGGGGTTGCTTTTATCATTACCATATTGATTTCTTGTGTTCATATTCTGTGCTATACCAATAGGGCTTTAAAAAAGAGCATAAAGATAAAATATAGCTTCATCAAATTCTGTCATATTGGAGAGACACCAAAACGTATGTGTATTACCAATACATGGAGACTTTTCTTTATTGTGGACTAATTTGGAAACCCATCGAGAAAAGTCCTTCAATTCATTAGGCAATTTTGAAATGCCCAATATGTGCAAAGTACTATGCTAAGTGCACAAGAAACATCTTAAACATATAAAAATTCTCAAATATAAAATAGGACATACTAAGTTCATTAAAGTTTAAAATTTTGTGCGGGGTGCCAGGTATAAGATGTGTAAAAGGTCATTCTGGCTGAGCAATAGAGGAGATGGCACTTGAGCTGGATCTCAGAAGGACTTTTTAACAAGACTGGGGGAGAGCATTCCAAGTAATAGTGTGAGTAAAGACACAGAGGCAGAGAAACATAGAATTTTATAGCAAGGCAGCAATTAGCCCACTTTGGCTGGAGTACAAAGACAGGTTTAGCTGTCAGATAAAGCCGGAAGAGTAACAGATTATACAGAACCTTGAACAAAAGGAGGACTGATCCTAGAGTCAGAACTGAATTCAAATTTGGTTTCAGATACTACCAGCTGTGTAACCGTGAGCAAGTCATTTAACATTTAACCTTTTCTCAAAACGATGGACAGGACTACGTAGTTGGAATAAGTGACATAGTCATCGTTAACTAGAATGGGGGTGAAGCAAATGAATTAACTGATCAGTGTCTGGAAACCAATGAGTTCAAGTAAAAAAAAAATGAATATCGCCCAAGAAGTAGCCAGTTGTTAAAATTTGGTTGGAGAATAATAGAGAGATAAACTATAGGTAGGCTATTAGCACATGACACTAAAACTAGCTAATCACTGAAAAATTAGATGTGGTCACTGAAGCAATGATCTTTTTTAAAAAATTGAATTGGCTACTGTCAGCATGGAGAATAGCTGATTATGCTAACATGAGGAAAGATAGGTCTTTAGACATCTAAGTAAGATGGAGCCTTACATAAATATGAATGTGGGTATGTCTTTGATTAGGGTAGGTCAGAATGTCTACCTGCCTTATCATCTTATATAATTCTTATCCTTCCACAAATCCTTGATAGAAGATATACAACACAATGGATGCTTCTCTGATTCTTTTCATATCTTAATGATACCAATATGACATTCAGCTTATCCATCTCCAGTCCCAAATTCTGACTATCCCAAAATCAGCACTCTTAGTAGAGAAATTATCAGTACCACTGTCAAGCAATAGTAGCACCTGGTTCCATTGGTAGAAGTCAGCTACCTTGCACTGATGTTAAGGTACCATGTGGGTCAGGCAGCATTAAGCAGGATATTTAAGAAGAGGGGCTTTTTCTCTTTTAGATATTCTCTAAAGGCTGGGTAACTTTCAGACTCTTTAGGCCATTTAAACTTTTCTCAGAGTACAAAACCCTTGTAAGTTCCAGGAACTTGAAATAGGCATGTGTCCTTTTTTGATGTTTCCCAAGAGGAATCTCCCTGAAAGGGTATCTCTTCCTTAGCACACTAGCTACTTGGGAGGCAGCCAGTACAATATGTATGTTTATGAATCTCTTTCCCAGGTGTCTGTTGTCCTGCACTAGCACTATATAAACATCACAGTGGCAAGGTGGTCGGGTTTTTTTTTTAAATGCTTGTAATGCTTTTAGAGATAAACCCAGATGGATTTATGATATCCACTTTCTCCAAGGCTTAGTTTCATAATCCTAAGAATGTTTTTAAAAGCCCAGGTGAAACAACTAGTCTACCTCCTTTTCCAACCACACACATCCATATTGATATCTTTTATACAGATTCTTGCATATTACATGATTGACAAATGTTTTACATCACCCCTATTGCAACATACATCATTAACAACTAGAAAAACGTGATTAAAAACATATTTGCATCACCCTGGCTCTGCAGTATTCAAAACAAGATTGAAAATTGTGTGCTTAATGATACAGAGTGTCAAAGGTCCTAGTTGGGGACTCTCATTTGGGGCCCATGAACTTGCTTTGTAAAAATATTTTAATTAACATATTTCAGTATAATTAGTTTCCTTTGTGTTCCTATGTATTTCTGAATTTAAAAACATGATTCTGAAAAGAGATCCATAGGCTTCACCAGACTGCCAAAGAGTTCTATCACACACACACACACACACACACACACACACACACACACAAACTAAGATCCTCATGTTGGAACCATGTAGTCAGAAGAAAACAAAGAAAACCTGGCTGGAGTTTTTTTAAAGCATTTTAAAGCTTGAAATTCACTAATCTTTTCAGTTCTTGGATGTGATGGCATTTTGATTGGTTCAGTCTAAGAGTTTAGTGTGAAAAAAATCAGTAAAATAATTATTTGATGACAAAAAGAGTAGCTTGGCTGAATTTGTCATCTTTCAATAAGTTGTGTTAGTAGTATTAGCGATGTTAACTTTTATTTTAGCATTCTTTCTGAGTGCCAAGGCAATTTCATGTGTATTTGTTCATTAGCAATGGTGAATGTTGGTTTTGGTAATCTGGAGAAGCAAAAGTTCAAAAGATAAGGAATTGAAACAGCATGTATAATAATAAAACTGTAATTCCCATTGTTCTAGAAAAGAAAAAATAATCTCATCAATGGTTCCTTTGCCCTGAGTACTATGACCTGAGTATGATGACCATCAGCACTGCTATGAACCCTACCACTGGCATAACCTGTGTGGGCATTGGGAAGGTTTCAGTATGTGTGAAAAAGCATACCAAATTTGGGATCTAGGCCTAACTCTGTCTTTCACTAGAGGAATGACTTCAGGCAAGTCACTTAACCTCTTAATCAAATTGGATCTGATTTCTTCTCTGTGAAGTTATTAGAATGGTATTAGATTTACCTTCCTCGTAAACTTTCTCTAAACACAGTACAAATACAATTATGTATCTGTCACCTAAAATATGTTTGATGAATCGGAACACAAAAGAATTTTAAGCCCTTGTGTCGTTGGGCTTGTGACACAGAATCATCCCCAAACACTTTGATGTGTTCTGTGTCTCTAATGTCAGTTTACAACACAGTCTGAAGCCCAAGACTCTTTGTAGGGACACTGTGTAGGAACACAAACACAGACATAAGGAAAGCTATCCAAATAACTTGGCTCACTAGTCCCATGTCTGACATGTTTCACTTGGTGTATAACATATGGTCACATGACCCGCAGCAACCAACCATTGTCAGTCTGTCTCCACTCTGACCTATCTACGCCAGAGAGTTCAGCCTATTTTAATTTTGACCCCAACCTACTGCCAAGTTGTGCGGGTCTGATATAAGGACTAGTTTAGGAATGTCACCTCAAAATGTTAGGCTCTCCCTGCTTTTATATGCTACTTTCCAAGCAGCTTCCTAGTGTGAAAGACAATGAAATCTTTGACATCTACTTCTGCCTTCCTGCTCCCAAAGCTCAATTTTCTGCCTCCCTATATCCTGACTCTCTGAGAGTCTTGAGGCATGTTGGGAATCAAATACTTCAAAAGGAAAAAATTAGTGGTTGAGACTTAGGCCCTGAAGACTCTAATTCTTTACTGTCTACTGATCACGGTTTATTTATTTTTCTTCAGATTTCCCAAGCTTCATTTTAGTAGAGAAAGCTCAGCCTCATACAGTAAAAATCAGATTAGATACAGTTCACTTCATCTTATTTAGTTTTCATTAAAACCCCTTAAATTATACATCAGTACACATTATTGATGACATACTCATAGGTATGACATGATCCTATTTTGAATAATTCAGCTCATCTACACACTAGAAAAAAATCTAAGCAGTGCTTTTCTCCTGAGCTCAATAGGAATTGGATATTCACTGTTTCAACTAACCTAAAATTGCTGTTGATGTGCTAATAGATGTCTGTGAATCATAAGTGTTCCTAACTGCTCTCTGACTACGATCAACTCTGTTATGAGGAAAGTGTGCGTTTAAAGAAAGATTGTGAAGCATTTTCCAGAGCTTCCTCTTGAATCCCTTTAGAGATTCCTTAAACATGCTTGTTTCCTATGTGATTTTTTTGTAATCATCTATGTGTGAGGCATTTGAGAGGCTACCCTGCACAGACTCACTAAACTGAATTCACTAATGTGTTGATTCAAGCACAGCAAGAGCTAGTGGGATATGAATTGTGACTTGAA